CCCTCTCCAAATTTTAAATGCTGCCAGTTCCTATTCGTCAACCTTACCCTGTATTTGCGCCAAGCAAAACGATGACAACGTTGTGCCGACAAAAATTTTTTGAATATTCAGGAAAAAAACATAAAATACTCAAACCAAGAACACCAAGACTGCCCGCGCAATCGGTGTAAAGAGCCCGTGCCAGTGAAGTTACTGGGATGCTTCTTGACTTCAGACGAAGCTAGGCTATTTATTCAGGACGCAAAATTTTGAAAAAAAAAGGAAGAAAAACTAACTGTGTGTAGTCAAAAAGCCGTGAGTCCCAGAGACTGTGATAACCGCGTGAGTTATCATGGAAATAGCTATTCTGGGTACCATCCCATTCATTCAGCCCGTCATCCACATTTTTCGATGCGTGTGAATGGACTACATCAAGCAGTATAAATATGCCGGCTTCATGCGCTTTGTCCACAAGATATTTCACATCTTCTGGTGTACCACAACGGCTGAAAAAAAGTAAAGTAAAAATAAATAACTAGGAACGAGTTTCCATCTCTTTTGCAGCTTACTGCCTGCTGTCTTCGATGAAACGTTTTTTGTAATCCGATTCAGTTTCGACAATAATCTAGAATCAAGGAATTTACCAATGCCAGAGCCATTAGCTGGAAATTTACCCACATTCTGTATAAAAATAACTTGCCCGAGGTAAACGAATTGTAAAAAACCTGGTACTATTTTACCATTTCTAGGAATCGTTAAACAAAAATTAACCCGTATTTTGTACAAAAATAAGTGGCCGTAGGTTTTTATCAGTGCGCGAATTGTAAAAATATGCCTAGGGATTTTGCCCTTGCTCATTCTGCGGTTAATTTTACCGATGTCTTTAGCAATTAAAGAATGAGGTGGAAAATGATGAAATAGAAAAAAATGAAGGGGAAAAAAACGGAGTGGAAAAACGAAGGGGAAAAAGGGGAATGGGCGTATGGAAATATTTCTAATAGGTAAGAAATGTTTCGGTTCATTAAGTCGTATACATTTCTTACCGTTACCAGAAATTGGACCTCATCTGTACGACGACTGTGGTAACAAAGGTAATTTTGATGGTTTAATCTCGAGCTGTAGCCTCTTGTTTAGGCTTGTAAATTAGTGCATTAATCTTCTACTGTGTTCCTCTCGTCCTTTATTTCTAAACAAACGCCTAACACTTATGCATGCCTTGTTTGATGAATAAGTTACCCCATGTATTCTGTAACAGCAACCAACTTTTGGCGCATAAAAGACGATGGTGTGTTACTCGTTGAGCACGGCATTGCAAGTTATCCCAATAAATAAGCAAAGAGCGTGAGGGCTCGATTCCCTCTACGATTTTTCGTTCGCTAAACGTCAAATATGGAGAGCTTCTTTAAAAAAAAGTAACTCCTGTTGACCAATATGAAGCTAAAAGTCTAAAAATCGAAGCTGTTCAAAACCAGATAATCCAACACACCTATCTTTTATATGATAACGTATTTTGCCTCAAAAATATCATTCTTCGCCCTCAAATTATGCCTTCTGAACCCTTCTAAAGCGATGAAAAAACAAGCCTAGCTGGTGCGAAGAAACTGGTAACTTGATAGCCGAAACTTGCATAGTAAACATGCTCCATAACTGCCATTAGCTGGATCGCATTGTAGCCTGAAAAGCAAACGTTCAATGCCAGCAGAAGGAATAGCTGGATCGAAAGACAGAGAAGAATTCTTTAGAGAACAACAAGTTATACGAATATCATCTACACAGTTTTTCCATGTTCTAAGCCTAAACTTACAATATTTCAAGCTCGGACGAAAAGCTGGTTTAAATTCTGATATTGGATTTTGACAATTATAGGCGGATCCCGGGGGAGGGGATAGGCCCTTAACACCTCCCTCTCTCCACCGGATCAGGTACCAGTGCTACAAAAGTCTGAGTC